AGATTGGATAAACATCTATCTGTGATGATCTAGACAATTCTTGCTGGTAGTGAAAGCAAATGAGCCAAATTATCTTTGGTGTCCCTAAGGTGTTCTTGACTATTGACACTAAAGGTATCCCTTCTTTTTATGTTTTGCCTCAGGAATTAAGACCAGCAAAGATTATCACCCAAGTGCCACATTGAAGCAGAAGATGATGGCACCAAAGTGAGGCAAGTAAAGAGCCTTACTCCTAATCTGAGCCTTTGAAAACTTTGCTTAGTTTGCAGGAGTCTCTCAACTGGTTTCCCATTCTTCTGGGTAGCAGCTATAATTAAACAACTGGGAAGTATTTAAGGATGTTTCTGGACTGTTCGTCCAGCAGAGGAGGTACTTGCAACCATTCCTAGAAATACCTTGAAAAGAACTGAAAACATAAAATCCAGCAGAAGGTCAATCTGCTGTCTGGGTTGGTTGCTGGTTTGTTTTCCTTGCATACATATGAATTTCAATCTCTTGCAGTTCCTCTGGCCACAGCTCTTACTCAGGAGAGCACACTGCCATTCTAGATTTTCTCATAAGAACTTGTTCTGTGGCTTGCTGTGGGCAACAAAAAATCAGAGCTGGATGGTAAAAGACACTCTGAGCCACCATTCAAAAATGAAAGTAAAAAATGCATATAAAATCACTGAATTGTTGAGGTTGGAAAAGGCCTCCAAGACCATCAAGTCCAACTGTTAGCCCAGCATGGCCACATTCCCCACCGTGTCCTGAGTGCCACATGCCCATGTTTTTTGGACACTTCCAGGAATGCTGACTCCTCCATGTTCCTGGACAGCCTGTTTCAGTGCTGTTTTAATCCTTTCCGTGAAGAAATTTTTCTTAATATCCAATCTAAACCTTCCCTGGTGCAACTTGAGGCTGTTTCCTCTTACCTCACTGCTTGTTATGTGGGAGAAGAGACAAACTCCCACCTCACCACACCCTCCTTACAGGCAGTCATAGAGTGATAAGGTATTCCCCAAGCCTCTTTTTTTCAGACAAACACCCCCAGCTCCCCCAGGTACTCCTTACAAGATTTGCTCAAGTCCTTGCACCAGCTCATTGTGTTTGTAATTAGTTTGCACATAAGACTCATTATTTGGACACAATAGTCTACAAAATCACAGTCTTGTTTGGATTTCTGTTCTAATAAAATACAATTCTGCCTCCATGACAGCTTTCACTTCCCCCACCTTCCCATTTTATCTTCCTTCAAGCATCTAACTTACAGATTTTCTCCAACTACCAAACTATTTTGTTTCCATCTTTTCAATAATTCAAATATACCCATCAAATGCACACATGGCATATTTCCAGGCAGTAACATCTCCTTTCCTTCCTGTCTCTTTGTAGCCAGGTAATTTACATATAAGATGCACAAAGACAACCGTGCTCCTTGACAGTCCTGGTTTGTGCACCAGCTCCCTCTGCTTTCTCATGGCAACCCTCCATTGGAGCGTCTGGTGGGACAGCTGAGCCCTGAGCAAAGCCTGGTGGCACAGAGAGTTTGGCCTTTCTGGCAAAGCCTGGTGGCACAGAGAATCTGGCCTTTCTGCATTTTTATCCAGTGCAGCAGCAGGTCCATGCACAGCGCCGGTATGGAGATCAAAGGTACAGTTGCCATGATTACAGCTACAGTAGAAAAGTGTCCTCCCTAGACTATTCCTCTCCCTTCTCCCTTTCCCTCCCGTGTTTTTTGACAAATTTGTGTTTTGCCAGTCGTGAATTCTTCACTTGAGAAGCAGCAAGACAACGGAGCAGTGCTCCCCCCAGGAAACTCCCCCAGGAGCCAGCCCATGCTGACTGTGTGCCCAGGAAGTTGTAACAGGAGGACAGGGCAGAGGAGGCCAGCCCCAGGAGTCAGAGCCTCCTCATCCCATGTGGTGGCTGGCCATGAACTGTTTTCACAACCTTTGTTTTTCTCTGCTCCCTGTAAAACCAAACCATACTTGTTTCACCACAGGAGTGTCAAGGGCAAAAGTCTGAGGACACCCAAGAGGTATTTAGTGACCCCAACAGAAAACCTTAGAAACTCGAGCAATACATTAATAAATCTCCAACAAAGCAAGAACAAGTAATAAAGATCTCAGGAAAAAAGAGGCCTCTCTGGCAAATGAGTTGAGGGATCATATGCAGGAAATAAACAAGAGATTAAGAAAACAAGAGGAGGAGATACTTACAAATGACAAAAAAAACCCTTGAAATTTGCAGTGAAAGACATGGGATAAATGGAAATAGCTGACTGAGGTTAAACTAATTATTTAGCTAGATCACTGTCCTGTTTCCATTCAACATCATTACCAGACAATGCAAAGAAGTGGTACAAGAGATACCCACACAGTTGGAGAAGAAACTTCACCCAGACCCCAGGTTGAGGATCAGTGAGTTCAGCCTTCTGCCACTGCTGTGTAACCACTGTAACTTCTTTATAAAGGTAAAATATGAAAAATGTATCGGCATGTGATGGCATTCTCATTAATGTAAATATCTATTTCTGGCAATACCTTTTGATAACACCTTGGGGCAATACTTTCCAAGGGGAAATTACACTTTCTATGTCCTTTTCAGTAGAACTGTCTTGCCTTTTAATTTAATTGGTTTCCCTTTGCTTCTGCTTTTTAATGAGGGTACAGCATATCCTTACCCAACTACTTTATGCCTCTTAATATACATACATCTAACATGTACATATATCAAATGAATATCATATTTATCCTCTTTTTAAATGGCACAATACTAATTTGTATGTAGATCACAAATTTCCAAGAACTAGACTGCTGAACAAGGAAAATTTAAAATGTGTTTTAGACAAATGACTTGCCTAAAATTCTCCACATGGCAGCTGTTGATTGCATTTGTATCACATTATTAAGACACAGGCCCAACCTCACTTTGCTTTGGCAATTTTAGCAGTAACTTTTGGAAGCCTTAGGTGAGGCATGATTCAAACAACACTCATAGACAGGTCTGGAAAGGAAGATTTCATAAAACTGCTGTTGCCACTAGTAAAGTTCTAGCAAATGCCAACTGCAACTAGATTTCTCCCTCTACCCAAATGTCTTCCAGTGTTTTGCACTTCTTTCTCCCCACCCCCTGTCTAAGAAAACCACAAATTTTGCCTGAAGGGGTATCATCATTAAAGAAAGAAGCAGTGCAGTCAAAGCCTTAAGATGACACAGATCATTCAACAGTTGTTCAATTACAGTGAAAGGCTGCTTATTTTTGAACACAGAGCTTTCACTCAACACAGGCCCAAGGCAGCATTATCAGATTTGTATCTGCAGTATCTCAACCAGTCTGATGTAGGGCTTTCGCTCATTACAGAAGCTGTGCCCTTGTGTGAGGTTTACATCTAGGTTCAAAGAGTTTCTAAAGTGTCTTGGAGCTGTGTTGGCTTTAAAAGGTATTATCATAATAATTTCCAAGAATTAATTAAAAGTTGTTTTGGATACCTCTCATCTCCTAAATCCATCTGACTTTGTTTAAGGTTTACAGGCTGCTTTCCCTGCAGAATTCCTACAGGCTAATAAAACAGTATGTGACTACAGAGTCAACAGGGAAAACAGTAACACCTAAAGCATGCCAAGGTAATCCAAGCAAATGAAATATAGTATATTCAAAAATGAACATTTTTGAAAACTATTATTTAGGGCATACAATTCCTACAGACCCCAAGTGTGACCAATAGCAGGGTATGACCACCCAGATGGAAAAGTTGATTCCCATAGGTTTTTCTTGGCAGATTTCTATTAAAATGCTGTTCAGTACTAGCTGTGAAAGCAGTAAGAAATAAAATTTTTCTCTGTTATATAGCTGCATAGAAAAACATATTGAAATGCAGGGGAGTGTTTTCTACCCTCTAAATCAGAGTGATTGCTGGCCACACTATCATTTCAGCTGACAAGGACATAGCATTAGCTACAGGCTTCTCACCACTTCTTGCCATGCTGACACTACAGGAGTCAGGCCATTATTATTATGCTCTTTTTACAGTCTCTTAAATATAAACTTTTTTTTTTCATTTTTGTAAACTTTCCATGAACCTGAGCTCCTCCTGACCCAAAAGCCTCAGTAATTCTGTTGATCGTCTGCTAAGTGTGCTTCTGAAAATATCCACAGCTGTAACTGTGGTCAGCTGCTAACATATGAGCAACCTGGGTGGAAGCAATCGATTGCAAGGCCTTTTAGGGTAATGCAGCTCCAAAACATACTGAAAGGCAGAGCAGTGAGAAGAAAATGACATACAGGCCCAATTCCTTTCTGCAGTTCAACTCTATAAACTGCAATCATTCACTTCGAAGGAAAGACGAATGGGTTACTCCACATCTGTACAACAGTAACAGAATAGTTATGTCCTAAGCATCTGGTGAGAAACAAAATGAATTTTTCACAACATTTTCTCTAGCATAAAGCTAGATTTGGCTAGCAGGCATTCAAGATAAAAAAGATAACAAGTCAGCACAGGGGTCTACATGCTGAAATACTGTCCTGGTTCCAGCCAGGGCAAGGTTAGTTTTTGCAGTAGCCAGGATGGGGCATGGCTAGGACCCAGAGGTTATCCTGTACCACCTCAGGTCATCTTCCAAGGACAGGGGGGAGGGCTTGCTTCTGGACTGGGCTAGCATGGCAGAGGGAGTGGCTGTGTATTCTCAGAGGTTTCCATGGGTCAGCAAGAAAATTTATTTCTCTACACACTCCGTCATTAGTATTGTTGCTGTTACTGTTCATTTTCTTACCTCATTGCTGTTTCTAGTAAATTGTTCTTATCTCAGTTTGTGATCTTTATCTTTTGTGACTCCCATTCTCCTCACCATTCCATCACGGAGGAGAGGAAGGGGGAGGGAAGGAGGGAATGAGGCAGGGAGAGAGGAGGGGGGTGAGCGACATATAGCTTGGAGTGGTTCCAGTGGGAACACTAAATTGGAGAATACCATTCCTAAACCATGACAAATAGTCAGAACACAATACATTTTACAGACCTGTACACAGGAAGGTAACTTCTCAGTGGCCCCATCACAGTATTTCCAAACTTCCAAATTTCAAACTCTACAAATTCTCATGGCCAATCCTGCAAAAAGTGGAAAGTAAAGTTAAAACTAGGAAGTTCTGAAAGGAAAAGCAAATAAAATCAGCTCTCTCCTTGGATATACAATGCTAAAAGTCAGAGTAGAATTGGTTTAGAGGATATTAAACATTTTACACTACAGGAGCAGCTAGATCATAGCAATTACACAAATATAGCAAAGTCCAAGTTAAATAAAATGCAAAGTGGTAAGTTGCTGTTAAAGATATATTTCAGGGTAAAAATTCAATGCATATATGGAACTGGATTAGAAGAAAAGAGAGAATACTGCACCAATTTATATTCCCTTTGAACTGTCTGTAATACAGACCATAAAGTGCATTTTCAAACATATAGCATATCACAGAACTAGACACTTATTTCTAGCCATGGCACTTCTAGGCTTTTGGGAAAGGAGAGCAGAAATAGTCTAGTGGAACTGTGCTGTGTGACAAAGCATCTACTGGTGGGTTCTGCCCAACATCAATAAACAATTGTTTTTCCTTTAAATGAAGGAAAGAATTTCAGCAGTAAACAAATGCTTCACATCTTGCATGAATACTTCAACAGAATCAAAGCAAACCTGTCTTTTCATACCTCCTGGAAGTGCTATTCCAAGTCAAAATACAAGTCATAGCCTGAGATCAATTTTCAATCACAACAACAATGGCTCCATGATAATAAGGGCTGGTGACACACAAGGCACTAAAACTTCCTGTGATACTCCCCCGTGGAATCCACGCTCATTATTGTAAGGATAATTATCTGGGTATCCCCAAGACCAATTTTGCACTTTTTGTATAAATATGACCTCTTGCATAAGACATGAAATTTAAAATCATCTCCTTCACGGATATCATTGAGTCATTCCATTACCTCTGGGACAGATATGAATTATGCATTCTTCGATTCTCTTTAAAATTTAGATGCACAAGGGGGCACGGAATAATCTAAGTGGTACTAAAAATATAAAGCATTCAAGAAAGAAACAAGAACTTGTATGCTACTAAGTGCTGCAGTGCTCCGAAGGCTCCCTGCCTGGTCAAGAAAAGCACATAAAGCACTGAAAGGTAACAGAAGGCCTCCATGCTAATGGCTGCTAGTGACAAGGGCTCACTGAATGTCACTGCTTCACATACTGTGTACTGTTCATTTCTCTTATCTGTGTGACCTCTCTTTTGAAATGACTGATGAAACTCGCCTGAATTAGCATCTTTGCTTCTGGGCATTTGCCACCTAAAAGGCATTTAGTAAAATCTCTACTAAATACTAAAATAAAGCATGGAGGAAAAAAGATCATAATCTTAACAAAAAAATAATCACTATGTCTGTTAAAGAATACTCAGTGTGTAAAGCAAAAGCCTTCTCTGAAGCCTCCTTGTTAGGTTATTTTTCTACCTTGACACCCTTTAGGAGTACTGGCTTGTCACAATACATGCATTCACATTGCATACTTGGCTAACATTTCATAATTGGTGTGAATAAAAAGAAATAGCTGTTACTGCAAGAATAAAAAAAAGAAATGCCTCTGTTCGGATGCCCTGCTGCTATGATGACCTATTTCACACTAGCATCTGCTCTCTTCTCATGAACCACTCCAGATGTAAGCTGGCAAAACGGCACTGCAAGTATGTTACCCAGATGTCCACCGAGTGCTGCAGATGTTTTCTTCTATGCTTCACATTTAATGTGTGCCTGATTAATTTTTTCATTATTATCTCAACTACTTGGCCCACAGATTTTCCTACAAAATTTGCAGAATCCAGGATCTAATTTGCAGCCATGAGGAGCGGCTCCCTTTGTGTAAACAGGTTCATTAATGTCTGGAATAACCAGTCAACAGAATCTCGGTCTGAATTGCCAAAAGAAATGCAAACTTCAGTAATCTATTATGTCTTGATAATATCTGCCTGAGGATTTAACACAATGTTCATTTCAATTCAAAATTACAGATGTTTGCAATATTCAGATGCATCAGTCTGACCAAAAATATTATGCCTGTTCTCTGCCTCAAGCCCTTGACCTGAATGAGGTTAGTGACAGGGATATGAATGACTTGAGTGGAAAATGAAACACAAAAGTAGTTTTATCGTGAAGAACAATATTTCTTCTGTCACTAAACCATTTTTTCCCCCTCAAAATTACAGAGTAGACTGCAAATCTTCAAGGCTAGCAGTCACGACGACAGTCTAAGTGCCATTTAAAAGAATAATAATTTATGAGGTGCCTTGGTAGAATAGCAAAGGTCACGGAGTAAACTCCCCAGGGAGGACAGGATGACAAAGGTTGCAAAGATGACTAAAGACTCGCCTACAGAAAGGAATTTTCTTGGAAGGAAGATGTTTTCTTGCAACAACTTCATCCCACCTAACACAGTTCCTCATCCAAATGAGCAGCTCACCTTTAAGTTAGCTAAAAGGCATTGCTTGCAAAATGTGCTTCTGAAATTTGTAGATTAGCAGCTTGGCCTTGTACCCACTGAAGTCCCACTGAAGTGCTGGTAGAGGGAGGATGCTGTAGGTCTGTCCCACAGGGCACAAGGGGGTTGCCTTGGTGTGATCTAACACGGGACATCAAGCTTGAAAAAACCTCAGGAGTCTTTGCAAGGCAGTCCCCACATAAATCCTACTTTTGTGGCAACCAAAGTACCATCTGCAGACCTCCAACAGGCCACCACAGACTGGCACAATATCTCTCAGAAGCAGTGTGAGGAGTTGGTAGGTAAGGAGCCTAAGACACACAGTTGACACACTGCTCCTGGACATTTGTAAATATGCATACGAGCCATCACTCTACAAAGCAGTTTGGGCAGCTTTTCCTTGCCACAGCTATAGCATTCCCCTTCTTCAGATGCTGCAAGTACAGAAAAAAAGGCAAGCATGAAGAAAAGCAGGAACAACTTTTTTTGGCACAGCTCCACTTTCTGCCAAAACATCTCCGGGCTCATAAAATACACATGAACTGGTGGAAGAAGCTGATGCTGCAAACCTGGGAGTAACCAGCGGTGTCTACAAAACATCAGAGTGATAAAAAATAGCTTAACCTGAAGCCAGCATGCAACAAAAGACAGCTCATCTCTTCAGTAATGTGTGGCCATAAACATTTCGAAAACTGACAGTTTCCAACTGCTCACAATCAGCTGTGGGAAGTTTCTGCAGCTGAATCAATGGCTGGCACTTGTGGAGGGTCTGGCACAGCTCTGAAGGGTACAGATGTAACAGGTGCTGGTAAAGAAGAGGTTATTAACTGCTTTGAGTATAAGGGATTATATTTAATTTCTGTAGGACAACTGTGGGAGCCAATCTTGCTGCTATCTGACCTCCATGCCAGGCCTCCCAGTCCATAAAGAGGTACCTGAGAAGCAAATAATCATTGAGTCAGATTATCTAAGGAGGCCTCCCAGTCCATAAAGAGGTACCTGAGAAGCAAATAATCATTGAGTCAGATTATCTAAGGAGTGCTTGAGGATGCTTAGCCATTTTCTATGCTAAAATCAGGCAATTATCTAAAGGGGGCGAATGCTACAGACATTCAGAGAATCTTCAATCCCTTGCTCCAGCAGTCCCTGGTCCATCACAACAGCTCATGAAGCCTTTGGCTAGCTGTTCAGATCATAGAACATTTTTACAGACCCATAACTGCATGCTGATGACAGCAGAGTGTGCCTTTGGGAGAGGGAAGGGCAGAAGGCAAGTGGAAGGTGGGATGCAGCTGAGCAAGACTTCAATTGAAACATCACCTTTTATCCTGCACATCACCTGCAGGAAGGAGGGAATGTCACAGCCACGTTGCAAACACATCAAATAGCTCAGGCAATTCCCACTCCTGAGTGACAAAGCATCCACTGGGCATGCTGCCAGGCAGCCCTCCTGAACCTGCCCAAGGAAGGGAACCAGCATTTCCACCCCAAGATTTGCCTCACGCTTAGAGCCACTTATTCCAGCGCAGGAGCTTGCCCTCAGTGCCAAGCCTTGGTGGGCTTTGTGTGAGGGGTTTTATACTCTCCTGTGTTGGTTTTGTATGCCTTGTCTTCCTTTATTAATTTTAAACAGAATGGAGGGATGTAGATTCACCATTGGGGATATGTCAGTGTTTGCTCAACATGCTCTATATACCTTTATTAATTTTGTATTGAATGGTGGATGTGATTTCACTCCGGGGGGAAATCAGGGATAGCAAAAGGTCTTTCCCACAGCAGGGCAGCAGTGGGGAAGGGGAGGTAATTTCTCTGTGGGTTTATTTTGAGTGATTTATGTGCTTCCATGAGTTTCTAAAGCTGAAGAATTTTGAGCTTTCATGAAAAGGCAGTTTCAGGGCCATGACCCACTGGTCTAAAGATGTTTATTAGCTTAATCTAGCATTGTTATTCAAGTCTTACTGCTTAGAGTACATTTTAAAAGCAGCAGATGATGCCTTCTTATAGTGCAAAACAGTATGTAAAGAGGGAAATTTAAAAGATTTCAAAATTGAGACCTATTTCCAAATAAGACTTATTCTTTAATGGTAAAAATGCATAAACAGCATATGAACTGCAAAAGGGTTGGTATTTGACACAGGTTTATAAGGTTTAACTCTTGGCCATAAAGTTTAATTCTTGGCTCACTGCAAAAATTGCCTGTATCTGTGAGAACAGCTTGGCAGGCTGTCATTTCCAACAGTGCAATTCCCAGCCCCCAAACAAGCCAACACTTGGCTTCGAGCATGCAGGGATACTCAGTGCCCTGGACTGATGGAAATGTTGTGAAGCTGCTTACTTGTAGACAGCTCTTTGCTATCAACTTCCAATTCACACAGTATGATTACACTCTAGCATATCCCTTTGTTTAGACTCTTTCTCCCAGGATATCTTAATTCACCAGTGTCACGACAATGAAGGGAATGTTCCCTTTTATGTCTGTCCGACTTCCTTTTCAAGAAAAAGTTTTCAGAGGGGGAAAAAAAAAAAAAACAACAACCCCTCATGCCTCCCTCAGTTTCCAGAGGTCCCTAGGTTGCATCTTCTCCAC